CTCCATTTCTGCCATGACCCAAGGCTCTACTCGGATTGGTTACCGCATCCCGCACATGGGTTGCCTACGTTGCCCAGAGTGCGCGAACGAGAGGGCAAAACTCGGGATTGAATACACTCACACACACAGACAATGCAAATTCCCTTAGATTCGACCACATCCTACCAAAGAAAAACACAGTAGTTACATATATCAATGGCTTCAATTTATCGATATAGTGGCTCACTGGGGCCTTCATTTTTCAACGAACTTGATTAATATATATTTTTTTTAAGTTTATAAAATTAGCAAGAGACCAGTTAAGCTCGACTTTTGAATTTGTATATGGTTATATTAAATCTTTAGTACAAAGAGCAGCAAAGTAGAACTAAAAAAAAATCGAAAAGTCTCAGTTAATAAATGTAACATAAAATCCCCCCCCCCCCCCCCCCCCCCCCCCNTAAATGTTAGTATAATAAAATCCAAGTTGCAACTGGCTTGTAGCTCAGTTGGTATTTATTACATAAATTTTATATAATTTTATTATTTTTTGATATCATTTAATTTAGTACTCCATTTAAAGAAAAAACCGATTAAACGAATTAGACTGACAATTATTGTGTTTGCCAAATCGGAAAACTACTGCAGTTAAATTAAATAAAAAGTCAGTGCCACCCCCTATAAATTGTTTCCAGCTCCACCACTGTGTACCACGTATACCACTCCCATTAGTTTTCACTGACCTTAACTTCAAGAAAACTTTAATTGAATCATGAGACAAGAAAATTGCATCTCTTAGTTCAATTTACAGCCAATCAGAATTGCATTACTTTCTTGTGGACTCCAAAATTGCATACACATGTACGAGTAAGTATTTTATGTATGTACAGTAACCAGAATATACCATTAAGTCCATGATTGAATAATTCAATAAAAAGACAGAATTTTTCGTGTATGTAGTAGAAAATCTTCAAGCATAAGCCACTCGCAATTAAAAATTGGGAAACAAACATTACTCGGGTTATGCGAAACGGTGGAAAGCGCCATCAAAAAAGCGTTATAAATTTAAAATAAAGATCACACGGGGATAAAAATAAACTAGGAATGCCAGTCAATGTCGAATATCGACCGTGTTTTTCTAGTTTTTTAAGGGTCATTGGAGTGGTTTTCTAACTTAGCACATCGTTTAACTTAGGAACTAAAACGTGACTGCAATTTTTTATATCTTTGGAGGTCTTTGGAGGACTTTGGATGGACTTGGAATTGACCCGATGCATTCCACTTTGTCTATAAAATTCGACGATTTTTTACATATCGATAATTCAATGATTTAAAAAACCACCAAAATCCGATAACTCAACAAATTTCGATAATTTTAATTAAATATCGATATCTCAAAAATTTATATATATCGATGTAATACGATAACTCCATAAACATTGGATACATTTATAAATTTCGGTAAGTCAGTTAATTTTGGTAGCTCCATATTTTTCGAAAGCAATCGACAAAGTTCGACAAATCGTTACACTCTGTTAACAAGATAAATAAGCAGGGATAACTCGATAAACTTATATAACCTTGAAATTTCGATAACTGGATATATTTTGAAAATTCCAAAACCTTCAATTCGACAAGTGGACAAATTTCATTAAATCAGTAAATATCGATAACTCGATATATAGAAAGAACTCGACGCATTACGATAACTCGATAAATTTTTTGTAACTCTTTAAATAATCTTAATACATCCGATTTTAATACAAACCCGATATCTTTATAAATTTCATTAACTTGACAAATTTCGATAATCCCATAAATTTTTATAGCTCCTTAAGTAGCCGTAAATTTCGATAACTTAATAAACATTGTTTAATTTGAATCATTCGATACGTTGCGATAACTCGATAAATTTCGATAACTATAAACATCGAGGATTCGATAAATTTCGGTAACATGATATCTTTCGATAACTTAATTTTTTTTCATTTCGATTCCTTTCGAAAAATTTCAATAAATTTTCTTACCCTTTCTCTAATTTCTCTTTACTCTAATTCTTATGTATTTCTCATTGTTTTCATTTTCGCCTTTATCTTAAATTTTATTTCTTCATCATCATATTTATCTTTATTGCAAAGTCTAATTTCAAATACAAAGTAAAACAAAATACGAAAATAACTCCAACAATTTGAAAATTTTTCAACCACGCACAGTGTTCTATTTTTGAGATAGCGAAATAAATGTAACGGGATTTTAAAGCTTTTGCGATGGGAAATTCAGGAAAGATAGTCTCTTTAAAAAGAACCTCAAAAATAGAAGTTTTTAAGATTTTTCATTTTGTGGCCTAAAACCAGTATGCAGTGAACTTTGTAAAACTTCTAAATATGTATGTGGGTACATATTTTTGATATTCTTGCATCACGCAATCCTTTTAACTTTTTTTGTTAAAAGTTCATTGCATGCTGTTTTAAGGTGGAAATGAGAAAAAAAAACAAAAATTTAAATTTTGAAGGTCAGGTTTGGAGTCAAAGTAATTTTTCATTCAAAGATATCTTTAAAATTCCCTTCAAAAGTAAAATCTTTATTTTTGGTTTTTTTTTTCACAAAAGGAAAAGAATTGAAAACCTTATATTTTTGGAGGTCATTTTAAAGGTGAAGACAATTTCTTTATCCAACGAAATTATTTTTCCTGAATTTTCCGTCTCAAAAGCTTTAAAACACCATTAAATTGTTTCACTATCTCTTCTCCTTTTCGAGATATTCGATTTTGTGCGACGATTTTGGTCGTAATTTTCAACCAATTTTTAAATCATAAAAATTCTCCTCATCTATAGAAAAACACCTTTGCAATTGTTTTCTTGGTTCGGTAGAATTGCCAAACCAGCGAAATTTTGGACCCACCCACTGTCAGTAGGTACCAATTAGTTAGTTTAATATGTTTTACATATAGCTCACATCCTGCAATTCATTACTTTGCACATTCACTTCATAAAGGATCGATGGGCCCGCGCGATACCTCCGTCGCTTCTTCTTCTCACTAGCCTCTAATTCGAGTTCTTTTATTCGATTTTTAAACTCCACCATTGGACTATAGAAAATTGAATCATTGCGCGGCGGCTTCTCGACTGCCGGTTCCTCGAGTATCGGTTCTACTGGATACGCTAGTTCCGTTCGGAAAGTGGGCTTCAAATAGCGTGCAGAAACTACTTGGAAACAAGAACTAAATTATTTAAAAATTTTAAACTGCATTTATATATTTTCACTCACGCTCACAAGTTGTAACAAGTGCCCAAGTAATTAGAACGAAAAACAAAATATGTAAAATTTTACGATATTTTGACTGCTCATCTGTCTCCATATTCGTATCCCTTACGATTGATGAATATTTTCTTGGAATTATCGTTTGAATGAGGATCGCGCTGAGTAGCTGTAAAGAAGGTGGTATGAACAATTTTTTTTTTTTACAAATATTTGCTCATATCTTTGCAGGCGGGCGCAGCATCCGAGTGTGCTTGTGCTTGGCGTATCGACAAAAGATGCTTGGCTTAATTCCAGCTGGTCAAAACAAAAATAACACGTGAAAAATTAAAGCAGAAGCTCGGCCTAAGCGCTGGACAAAAATGTTTACACTTTTATTGCATTTTATAATATTTTATTCTTATTTGCTATAATTATACAAACCTTGAACTTGGTTAATACATATGAAACAGCTGTGTAGGCAGACATAAGTGCATTAAACTCACGCCACACAGCTGGAAAAGGTTTTACCAATTATTTTATTTATATAAATAAGGATGCAACACCAAAAATAGTTGCTGGTTTTCCACCGGTGTTATTTTAACCTTTTTTATATTTAAACTTCTGCCAAAATGTGTCGCTAAAATATGAAGATTTAGGTGAGCTAGACTGATTTTAAAATATGTACCTCAATAATCTCATTATTTCGACTGCATTGATAAAATTTTTAAACAGTTTTTTTCTAGGCCTTTTAAGCTTTAACACTTCTATCATCTGAGGTGATTTTTTTAGAAAAAGTAATTTTAAAAACTAATGTTATTTATAAAAACCTCGATTTTTGTAGGCATTTTCAAATGGGACCAGATAGGGTTGCCAGATTGGCTTTTTTATCTTCATCATTTTTACGTATTTTCGTAGTGACTTTTTTGAGTGCAGTGGAGAGAGAATTTTTCAATTGATTTTTTATCGTTTTTTTTTNTTATATATTTTCACTCACGCTCACAAGTTGTAACAAGTGCCCAAGTAATTAGAACGAAAAACAAAATATGTAAAATTTTACGATATTTTGACTGCTCATCTGTCTCCATATTCGTATCCCTTACGATTGATGAATATTTTCTTGGAATTATCGTTTGAATGAGGATCGCGCTGAGTAGCTGTAAAGAAGGTGGTATGAACAATTTTTTTTTTTTACAAATATTTGCTCATATCTTTGCAGGCGGGCGCAGCATCCGAGTGTGCTTGTGCTTGGCGTATCGACAAAAGATGCTTGGCTTAATTCCAGCTGGTCAAAACAAAAATAACACGTGAAAAATTAAAGCAGAAGCTCGGCCTAAGCGCTGGACAAAAATGTTTACACTTTTATTGCATTTTATAATATTTTATTCTTATTTGCTATAATTATACAAACCTTGAACTTGGTTAATACATATGAAACAGCTGTGTAGGCAGACATAAGTGCATTAAACTCACGCCACACAGCTGGAAAAGGTTTTACCAATTATTTTATTTATATAAATAAGGATGCAACACCAAAAATAGTTGCTGGTTTTCCACCGGTGTTATTTTAACCTTTTTTATATTTAAACTTCTGCCAAAATGTGTCGCTAAAATATGAAGATTTAGGTGAGCTAGACTGATTTTAAAATATGTACCTCAAAAATCTCATTATTTCGACTGCATTGATAAAATTTTTAAACAGTTTTTTTCTAGGCCTTTTAAGCTTTAACACTTCTATCATCTGAGGTGATTTTTTTAGAAAAAGTAATTTTAAAAACTAATGTTATTTATAAAAACCTCGATTTTTGTAGGCATTTTCAAATGGGACCAGATAGGGTTGCCAGATTGGCTTTTTTATCTTCATCATTTTTACGTATTTTCGTAGTGACTTTTTTGAGTGCAGTGGAGAGAGAATTTTTCAATTGATTTTTTATCGTTTTTTTTTATCAAATTTTCTTTTTTTGTTAATTTAATTTTTGCTTAATTTTTAGACCTTATTAAAAAAAAAATATATATATATGTATATGTATGCATTTATTATAGTTTCATTAATTTTTTTAGTAACTTATTTTATTTACTTATTTTTATCTTATTTTTCTTTTCTTAATTAAATCATTTTATTGTTTTAAAAAGAAGAATTTTTTTTTATAATTTCATTTAATTTTTAGAAATTTATATTTCCACTTCTAAGTAAATTTTGTGTTCGTTATTTTGTCAAATTTTCTATTCATTCGTAGATTTTATTCTCTTAAAATTCAACAACTTTATTAAGCTTGAGGCCGTTTTATATGAAAAATGTTATTTATTGAAAAAGAATACTATCTTTTTAACTTTATTTAATATATACGAACTTATTTTAGCTTTTCTTCGTGCCTTTGTTTTACTTTTTATTTAATTTTGAGATTATATTTAAGACAGTTTTTTTATTTAATTTAATTTTTAGGCACCTATTTTATTTATTTTTTTTAATTCTCTTCATTTTTAGATTTTATTGTTAAAAAAATATATATGTATATTTAATTCAAATTAAATTTATTTTTAGGGAGCTTTTTTTTCTTTAGCAAAATTTTTTGCTTTTGTTATTTTATGGCCTTATAACAATTATATTAAACAATTTTATTGAGCTTGAGACCGCTTTTAATAAAGATTATTTTTGGAAAAAAGTCAGCAATTTAAATTTTGGTAAAAGTTATAGCTGCCATTTCGGAGATCACCACATTTCCCTATCAGACTTCTTTCACTGGGACTCGATCCAACGACTCCAGCGCCCAAAGCCAATAGACTACCCACTAANAAAACAAAAAAAGCAATTTAAATTTTGGTAAAAGTTATAGCTGCCATTTCGGAGATCACCACATTTCCCTATCAGACTTCTTTCACTGGGACTCGATCCAACGACTCCAGCGCCCAAAGCCAATAGACTACCCACTAAGCTAAGTTCGCTACGTTTTCTCATGTGCTAAACCAACTACAATCAAGTGCAGCTATTCCGCTGCAATTAACACTCGATCATGCGGTTGTTGTTTTTGTTGGTTTTTGTATAATAATTATATTTTTAGAATGTTTAACTTTTTAGGGTGCTCGTCCTGATCAAACCCGAGTGTGTGGAACTCAGCTCTAACAACTTTTTTTTCTAACCTACAACAACCTATTCCGTTTGTCGTTTAAATACATATCTTTATCGCGATTTCGCTGCAAAATCCGTTCATTGGTGTCTGCAAGTTAAAATAATTGGCTCTTTTACTAGGTTTCAGAAAAACATTTCTTTTGGGTCATTCCTGGTTTTTCATGCTTCCAAAAAATTACTGGGTGATTCCAGAGTTTCAATTCAAAGTGGCGACAATTAAGTAATCATGGTCAATGGTGGTTTTTCTTCAAAATTGAATGCTCTACAAAAGTGTCCATTGCGGCGTAACTCTGACTCCCACCAGCGAGGTAGTACGGGTCAAAGGGAGTCACAAAAAAATAAAATAAATAAATAGTCGCCGAATAAAACGCACCCCAATGTATATACATATGTATATCTAGCAATATTTTAAAAATTACGAATTCTTTCAACAACCAGCCACGCCTACAAAATTAAGTAGCACTTGTGTCATGCACAAGTCACAAAGTAATCGAGTTAGTCAAAATTAAGGGTATGTAACAGCAACCGTTCACCCCCTAATCGAAATCGAAATGCGAAAACCGGCAAATCAAATAGCTACCCTCACTTCACCGAGTCACCGTTAATAGAGAATTAAAAGCGAAAAGAAGTAACAATAATTGTGGGTTGCACTTGTCAAATTATTTGCCACTTTAAAAGCGGGGCGGTAAATTGTACCTATATAAATGATTTTATACCTGCATACATACATACATGTATGTTTAAACATACAAATGCATCTAACTATGATCTGATTTATAAATGCTACAGTGTATTTTCCGCTAACTTTATCCTATGATTTTCGCAATTTTCTGCCAAGCTGCAATCAAGTCGATTAAATTAAGGGTGAAATATTGATGAAGATAATTCGGACAAAATTAATTGACACTTTTAGGGTTAAAGTGAGATTTCAAAGCACATATATATGCACATGTATTAATACTAGTATGTTATTACAAGATATTAATGATTACAAGTTAAATAATGCTGAGAAGTTAAAACGAGCCTAAAAGCATGCAATCAAATTCGATTGCTTATGATTGCTATTAATATTAACCCTAAAGCAGACACCATGAGAAAGGAATGTATGTACATGTGAAACACGTGCGAAAATAGTTTGGCTACAGCTGTACTTTGCCGCTTTTTATGGCTGATAATAGCAGTGATGGAAAAGTAGGCACAATAGTGCCATTTTTAGCACATTCATTCTCAGAGGCACTTTTAGCACAATTCATCCTGTTTTGGCACAATCATAAAATATAGAAATTTAGTATAAAATGCCAATATATATATAACAAAAAATCACGTAGTACATTATATATTAAAAAATTACTAAATGGAACATTAAAAGCCGTGAGAAATATTGGCAAAACGCTTAATTTTAAATATTGTGAATACGCAGCACAATCTTTAAATTCAGAATTTTTAGAAAGATTCTAAGATTGTAGTTTTACAGTCCATTAAACAAAAGTGCAAGTTTCTACAAAATCCCGTTGATTTTTAATATTTTTTTTTTTTGCTGATGGTGGCATACATTTTTATCCATTTTAAAAATTCAGTAGTGGTACTGATCCTACAGTATTGTATTCTTAATAAAAAAAAATACTTTAGGTGCGCTGCTTACAATTAAATTAAAAGATAAAGGTTCTTTAAAATTATCAGATGTTTTATTAATAGATACTTAATAGCACGTTAAGTTGTCATTTTTTTCAATTTCTTATTTTCGTATATAATTTTGTTTTCCTTAATTTTACGATTTAAAAAACTAATTCTGAAAAATGTTCTCCACAAAAAAAAATCGCTTTATAACCTTTCGATCCAAATTAACATTCAAATTGCTCATAACTTTTTGCAAAATATTTGGCTCAGTTTGATAAAAACTGTGTTTAAATCTTCCAAAATATTAAAAAAAAACTGGAATTTGGTTATAAAGTCCCCCCTCTGATAAGCAGTTTTCGTATGTATAATTTAGATCTTGGTTTTCATGTGTTCTATGGCCAAATTCCGACAACCCCATCTTAAATATTATATATCCTGCAAAATTTTCATTCCCATCAAATTCCACATCTCCGAGTGGCCTTATGAATTCTTCGACCTCATGTTCCTCTGAAAGCTTTTTAAAAAGTTAAAAAAAAAAAAATTTAACAGCTGCAATGCAAATATTTTACCTCGACAATTTCTCATCAAGCTGGATTAGATCGTCGCTTGAGGCCCTCAACATTTGCTTGCTCACATAAAATATTTTCGTTTCGTTCTAGAACAGACCAAGCATACACTTAGTTTGGAATTAATAATTGATATCAACAACAACTTTTAAAGGAGTTCAGGAAAAAGTTACCTAGTAGGTAGAGTGGTAAAGGTAGTGGTAAAGGGTGATCATGTAGCCCTCCTTTTGCCCGTATCGCACTAAAAAATTTTCAACGCAGTCCTGGTTTAACTTGCTTGTTAGAATATAAATCATGCAATAATTTTCTTGAGGTAGTTATGCAAAATTGGTAGTGCGTTATTTACTTGCAGGATTGCCCTTTGAAAAGGTATAAGTTTTCCACGGGGAGGGAACAAATTTTGCACTATATGGCTCATTTCCTCTAGCACAGAATTTCGCTGCAAAAGTGATAGGCCATATGCTTTGCTTTCGCAACTCCTGGCTAAACCAAGTTGGGCGCACCGTTTTAGAGCCGAAGCAGTAGTATGCGAAAAAAGTTTAGTGGCGTAGTTTACTTTTTGTCGCGCTGTTAAATAAAAAAACATACGGAAATATACTTTCAACATATTTCACTACCATGGTTTTTACCACGATTGAAAGAATACAAAGGTTGCGCCGATCTCGGACCGCTATTCCTCTCTTAACGAATTTGACAGAATCGTTGTTTGCATGACACTGGTGCAACTTGTTTACGTTTTCCTTGCAACATTTTTTCTTCTTCTTCCATTCTTGCTCGCGTTTTGGCATTTCTCTCTCGCAATTGCACCAGTGTGACGTCACACACAAGTTATTCTCAAAAATCCTCT